TGAAATCAGATCGTTGTTCAGTTGCTCAGTCGTGTATGACTCTTTGCGACCCCATGGACTGCAGCACGCCAGCTTCCTTGTCCTTCACCATCTCCTGGAGTTTGCTCAAACTCTTGTCCGTTGAGTCAGTGATGTCATCCAACCATCTCATCCTGCCCTCACTCCTTCCAAGCATCAGGGTCAGCTCAGACTTGAACCAGATCCCTTCCGGCTAAGCTAGAGGGGTGTGTGCGTGCGCACACTCAGTTGTGTCCAACTATTTGCGACTCCATGAACTGTAGCCCCCAAGGCTTCTCTGTCCATGGGGTTCTCCAGGAAAGAATACTGGGATGGGTTGCCATGCCTTCCTGCAGGGGAGATTCCTGACAGAGGGATTGAACCTGAGTCTCCTGCATCTTCTGCATTGCAGGTGGGCTCTTTACACACTGAGCTACCCGAAATTAGAGAAAAGATAGTATTTTTAAGGAACCTACATACTGTTCTTTGTAGTGGCTGTATCAATTTCACCAACAGTGTAGAAGAGTTCCTTTTTCTCCACACCCTCTCCAGCTTTTATTGTTTGTAGATTTCTTGATGAAGGCCATTCTGACCATGTGAGGTATTCACTTCATTATATTGCATTTCTCTAACAATTAGTGATGCTGAATAACTTTTCATGTGCCTCTTGGCCATCTGGATGTCTTCTCTGGAGAAGAGAAGTGTCTAGTTAGGTCTTCCGTCCATTTTTTTATTGGGTTTTTTTTTTTTAATTGAACTGCATGAGCTGTTTGTATATTTTGGAGATTAATCCCTTGTCAGATGCTTCATTTGGAAATATTTTCTCCTGTTCTGTTGGTTGTCTTTTCATCTCATTTATGGTTTTCTTTGCTGTGCAAAAGCTTTTAAATTTAATTAGGTCCCATTTTTAATTTTTGTTTTTATTTTCATTACTGTAGGAAGTGGGTTAAACAAGATCTTGCTGTGATTTATGTCAAAGAATGTTCTTCTTATATTTTCTAAGAGTTTCATAGTGTCTGATCTTACATTTAGGTCTTTAACCCATTCTGAGTTTATTATTTTTAAAAATAATTAATTAATTTCGCTGCAACAGATTTTTAGTTGTGGCATGTGGGATCTAGTTCCTGGATTAGGGATTGAACCCAGGCCACCCGCATTGGAGCATGGAGTCCTAGCCACTGGACCACCAGGGAAGTTCTGAGTTTATTTTTGTGTATGGTATTACGGGGTGTTCTGATTTCATTCTTTTACATGTGGCTGTCCAGTTTTCCCAGCACCAAGAGACTATCTGAAGAGATATTCTTACTGAAGAGACTATCTTTTCTCCATTGTATATTCTTGGCTCCTTTGTCATAGATTAGTTGACCATAGGGGCATGGGTTTATCTCTGGGCTTTCTATCTTATTCCATTGGTCTACATTTCTGTTTTTGTGCCAGTACCATACTGTCCTGATGACTGTAGCTTTGTACTATATTCTGAAGTCAGGGAGCCTGATTTCTCAAGCTCTGTTTTTCTTTCTTAAGACTGCTTTGGCTATTCAGGGTCTTTGTGTTTCCATACAAATTGTAAAACTTTTTGTTCTAATTCTGTGAAAAATGCCATTGGTAATTTGATAGGGATTGCATTGAATCTGTAGGTTGCTGAACTACCATATGATCCCACCATATGATCCCACTACTGGGCACATACGTTGAGAAAGCCATAATTCAAAAAGACACATGCATCCCAGTGTTCACTGCAGCACTATTACAACAGCCAGGATATGGAAGCAACCTAAATGTCTACTGACAGACATACAGATAGAGACTTGGTACCTATAGACAATGGAATATTACTCAGTCATAAAAAAGAATGAAGTTGTGTCATTTGTAGGGATGTGGATGGACTTAAAGTCTGTTGTACAGAGTGAAGTAAATCAGAAAGAGAAACACAAATATTGCATATATTATGGGATCTAGAAAAATGGTACAGATAAACCTATTTGCAAGGCAGGAATAGAGATGCAGACATAGAGGACAGATATGTGTACACGGCGGGGGACAGAGAAGAGAGGTGGGATGAACTGGGAGGTTGGGATTGACATATATACACGATCATGTATAAAACAGGCAATTAGTCGGCACCTGCTGTATACCAGGGGACTTGGCTCAGTGCTCTGTGGTGACCTAGACGAGTGGGGTGGGGGCAGGGTGGGAGAGGAGGGGATACATGTGTACATACGGCTGAGTCACTTTATTGTACAGCAGAAACTAACAATATTGTAAAGCAACTATATACCAATAAATTAAAAAGATAATAGATGTAATTGAGAATGACAACTTCAAAAAAATAATATTGTCAAAGTGTTTAGCCTACAGTGTTTGGCACAGGGTAAGAGCTTAATAAAACAAGAATTAATTCGGTGCTAACTCCACTGTCCAGGGGGATCTGGGCAGGGGGTTCTGCAAACTTCTCAAACCATACTAGTTCAATCTGGTTCCCACTTCAAGTGGGAAGCCCTGCCAAGGACAAAGTGAAACAGCAAGGACAGAGGGACAAATAGGACAGGTGTGCCCAGAAGCCAGGAGCAGTGGGAGCTCCAGCAACTTCCACGGGGTAAGGCTCCACACAGCCTGGTGTCCAGGAAACAGGGAGATGTGTAGGACAAAGTGTGAGGTGAGGAGCTTACCTGGTATCTTGTCCCACAAGGAAACTTGGGGTCCTGCCCAATAGGTGATGGAAGGTATGATTTAAAAATAACTCCAATAAAATCTCATGCAGAGCTTGAAAGCCAGACGATGCTGCAGCTTTAAGCAGGGTAGGGCCCGCTGGGGTTGCTTCCTGGCCCTTTCCTTTCAGAACCTTTACCCTATGTCTCAGCACCCCATCCCTGTTCCCCTCATTCTTCTCAGCATGGCTGACTCTGTCCCCAGCTTCCAGGGCCAGGAGAATGGGCCAGGGGACCTGAGACGCCCTTCCTTAGCATGAAGGGTTAGCTTTGGCAAGTCCACCCCAGATCCCTGGCTTCAACACGTCTCCTGTCCTCTTGGCCTCTCTCGAGAACTCCTCAAGGCCCCTGGACTGGGTCAGAAACAGATGGGGGTCTCCCAGCCTCTCGTCTCCCCCAGAAGGGCTGGGATGGACCACATGGTAGATGAATTTAAAAAGGGAAAAAGCAAGAAAAGCACGGTTCGCTCTCCCTGGGAAGTGAGCTCCTTGAGCTGGGTCTTCTCGGTGCCTGGGGAAGGCACGAAGCTGACCCCCTTGCTCGCAGAGGGTCTCCACGGCCTCTCCTGCACCAGTCCTGTCCCCCTCTCTCAGCCCAGGGACGCAGGAAGAGCGACAGGAGGAAGAGAGAAAGTGTGTGCAAGAGAGACAGACAGGCGGGGCGCGTGAGTCAGGTGTGACCTGGACGTGCTGGCGAGGGGCCAGGGGCTGGGCCTGGGGGAGGGGAGGGGGGCCTGTCTTCCCCTGATGGGGGTGATGGGGGCGGCACAGGCCCGGGGGATGTGGCTAGGGGAGCCCAGGGAAATCAGGAGGAACCCTCCCCAGCACAGGGCTGTGATCTGCCTGTCCTCAGCCAGGCTCATGTGACAGCCCTCTCCCTTCTAGGGCAATTGATTCTTTCTGGCCACCCGCCCCAGGCCCGGTCAGCTTTCTTGAGGGTGTTTTCCTTCCAACATTCAGCCCCTAAGCCAAGCCCCACGTGCTGGCCCAGGGCCCCCTCCATGGGGCCCTCTGAGCATGGCCCACCGGCGCTGAGCGCAGAGCTAGGCGCGCTGCGGCTTCCCCCCATCCTGCCTCGTCCACAGCCTTCTCGGCTCCCACCGCAGCACCTCCTCTCTCAAGCCCAGGTCCTGACTTCACTAGCTTGAAGGCCTTGTCCCTTCACACTGGCTGTCTCCCGCTCCATCCTCGTCATGTCAGAGCAAGTCCAGAGCCCCAGAGCTTCCAGGGAAGCCAGCCCTTGGTACCGAGGCCCCCACCCTCTGTGCCAGCCTGGGCGATGCGCAGGCGTGCCCCAGTCTGGCGTCAGGGTCAGGAGACAGGTCCAGCGAGCCCTCTGCGGACACACTGCCCTCGACCTCCCCTTGGGTCGCAGGCCTCCTTGAAGGGAACGGGGCACAGGGCCGCTTGTCCTGGACTCTCCATCGAAGGATGCAAAAGCGTCTTTGCCCTGGGCTGACGGGCTTCCCTGGAGTCGGTGCCGATGCCATCTCTGGGTCCCTGGGGTCGGGGCCTCAGAAGTCCTGGTCGGACGGGCCCTCTGGTCAGCGGTGCTGGGTGTGCTCCTCGCGTCTCCCCGTCTTGTAATAACATGTTCTGGGGGAGATCTGGCCTCCTCACCAAACTGTCAGCTCCCTGAAGGCAACGGCCTGTCCTGCCGGCCTTTTGCTCCCAGTGTCCAGCACGGGTTGGAAACACTTAAGGACGTAAACCCTTGTGTCTATTCCGGGAGGAGATGGCAACATGACAGTGGGTAAGTCCCACGAAACAGGCTGGAGGGACATGTACCCAGCCTGCTTCCCTCCTGCGCCCCAGGCAACGCCACCCCGCACGTCTCGGCTCCACTGCCATCGGCGACCACCCAGCCCCTCCAGGACCCCCTGACCAGCACGTGGGTGCGCCTAACCACGGCCAGATGCTGGTCTCCGAGCGCCGAGAGAGGCGAGTGGCTGGGCTCTGCACCCGCCTGATGCGGACGGCTCCTGCCCCGTCCCACCTCCTGCCAGTGGCCGCTCTGCCTCGGCACTGGTCAAGCTGGGCATGTCTGCCCCTTCTCAGCTTCAGGGATCCCTGTGGGGGACCTCCCTCGGGGGTCTTTGCAGCCAGACCTTGCATTTGGTTTCCGGGAACCCACCACCACTGTGGGCCGAGTTTACTGCCCCAGGTCAAGCTTGGGAGCTGCAGGCGCCTGCCCCCGGGCCCTCATCCCCCTCATCGTGAACAGCCATGGCCCGTAGCCCCCCGCCCTGGCCCCACGAGCCCCAGTCACCACCCCGCCCTGTCCCATGCCTGCTACCTTGTCCCAGTCCACTGCTTTGAGCTTTGGCTCCATCACAGGGTCTGTCTTCTGAGTGTTCGCAGAGGCCACAGACCCGTTCTCCACGGGACCCTGGGGAGAGAAGACAAGAGGGGGTTACCGATCGCGGCAAGGGAAGAGAGCCCCGAGTCGGCCTGTGACGAGCCAGGATTGGAAGGAGCACAGTGTGGGGCAGGGTGGGCGGAAATCGAGGGTACTGATTTCACTTGGAAGCGTGTATGCACTGATGTGGGCAGTCTTATTCCTGGCACCTGTCTTCTCCCTTAGAAATATACATCAAAGCGAGAGGCAGAAAGGTCCAGGGGAGAAGAGAAGCTGGCAAAGAGACTGGAAGGAAACGAGAGCCTTCAGGGGGAACGCCCTGGCACAGGGGAGCCCTGTCAACCCCTCCCCAGGCTCCTGGCAGCTGCCAGGCCAAGAGTTGCAGGGTGGCACCCAGGGGACCTGGCAGGCTTGCCGGGTCATGCCTGCTGACGACACACCGGGCCTCTCTTCCTGGTGAGTCTACGGGGCTGGTGAGCCACAGGCGGGGCATCTAGGGCCGCATGCCCGCAGAAGGAGAGCCAGCAGGGCACGCGGGCCAGCCCTCCAGGAACTCTCAGGTACGGTCAGCAGCGGCACACGGGGCCGGGCTGGCAGAGGAGAGCCCAAATGGGCTCAAGGTCAAACGGAAGGGGCGCAGAGGCAGAGGCAGGAGGAAATCGATTGTACCGCGAAAATCACATGGCCCCAGCTGGCCCTGATGTCATGCGGGGTGAGGCTGGAGAGGCTGGCTGGCACGCAGGTGGGGCGCGCGTTTCCCTCCAGGAGGGGTGGGGAGAGCCCCCGCCCATAGGAGAGGCCTGTCCTCTGAGTCCCTGAGACCAACGGAAGCTGTGGGGCTGGGGGCCAGGGAGGAGGGGGCCTGAGAGGAATTGCAAGAAGCTGAGAAGACTGCCTGAGCAGCCAGTTGGTGTTTCTGCTGTTAGGATTCTTACGTTTTCCTTTCCAGATGAGCCGAGAGACCCTGATGGCAATAGCGATTCTGTCATTTACTGGGAAAGCCCATGTGCAATCCAAGTAAAAGGGGCTTTGTGGTCCTGTCTTGGTCTGGGTATCTCAGTATTTTTAATTTGTATCACCATGTTAATATTCAAATTTTTTTTTTAAAGCATCTCTGAAGATCTCTTGAGGACAGAGAAGATTTTATAGTATTTCATACAATGAAATTCCCTAACTACCCAATATAAAAATGCCATATAATAATCTTGTCCCTTTTAATTTTGTGATATCCTCAAAACATCCCCAAGCACCTCTAACCATGGTCCTCTCCCCATCCCGCAAAGTTTCTGTCTCCCGGTCCATCCAGGTCTTTTCTTAAGTAGGGTGATCTAATCCTTCTCTGCACCCCAACCCCACTCACTCACTCCAACTCTATCCATCTCTCTCCACAAAAGGCTTGTCTTGGGGTCCGCCCATCCCAAGCAGGGAAGGGGTTATCACTTGAATCAGCATATGATTTTTTTGTCTGCACTACACTTTTCAGACATCCCTGAGTGGCAGACACAGATCTGTTTAGGACATGTGCTTTGAACCAACCACTGGAAGCAGAAGGAAGGGTCCCCGTTTCCCAGCACCGAACTCAGCACTCACCTACCCATCCCGTGCTTCTGCTCACACAAGGCCTTGGGAAAATCTTCCCTCTGCTCAGCTGCCTCAGCGTTCAGGGACAACTTCTGGCTCTTGCCCTCTAGGACTCTAGCCTGTAAGGCTCTTTTCACCTGGTAGCTTATATATACAACCAAGAACAGACCACTGCCATCTGCTTTTCCCTAAGATCCCCTTAGGACATATTAGGGTCTCTACAGGAACTGGTTCCTGTTCCTCCTCCAAGGTGGGTGTGATTGGGGATGCAGGCAGCACCCTGCAAGGCCCATGCCTCCCCGGCATGGAACATCCTATTTCAGGCCATGGGAACAGAGCTCCCATCAGCACTTTGACCACCATCTCACGCGGCTCATTTATTTAATTTCTGGCCACCTGAAGTTGTTTTCTTTTTTTTTTTTTAATGGACTGCTGCTGCTGGCATGGTGTTGAAAGCTGGTGTGGCCCGGGAGGTGATTCAGACCTGCAAACCTGTTCACTATGATGAAGACTGGGATGCCCAGAACAGTGATGAACGGGAGGGCAAGAGGCAATGGAAATCAGAGAAACCCTAAGAAATGGGATCATCGAGGGGAGTTTGCAGGGATGGAAGCCCCGGCTCCGTATCTGCCTCCTCTTCAGGGGCTGGCGGTGTCAGGAGCATCACTGTGGTCATCTTCCCTCCTACATGGATCTCATCCACACCCACTGCCCCCACCCATTCATCCACAGACAGGTGTCTGAACATCTGCAGCATGCTACCCATGCATCAGTTCAGAAGACTCTGCAACATCCCTCTCTAACACTGGTCCTACTGCTTATCCCAGGGAGTATGTTCCCAAAGGCTGACAAGATAGTCTGATCCTCTGACCACTTTTCTAAGAGTGGCCACACTAGTATCCTCTGCAGGTTGGCTTGTCCTTGACTTCCCTGTATTTCACATCTTTCCCTCATTATTTCCAAACTCTTCTCCTGTTATGCCCTTGAATTAAGCCAGACTTTTCCCTCAAGCAATAGGGAGTGGTTGCCATTTGCCTTATACTTTTCTTCTCAAATGTCATCCTACCTAGCATGACAACAATGGTTAATGTGCACAAAGCCTTACCATGAGCCCAGCCCTTTCATCTTCATAACAACTGTGTGGGAGAGGCATGATTATTATTCCTACTTGACAGGTGAGCGGACCAAGGCATGAAGCAACCCACAGTTCATGAGAAAGTGGAGCCAGCAGCTGGGCTCAGGAACATTTTCTTGACCACCATATACTTTACGCCTAACCATTCTAGCCAGAAATGTCTTCATTTCCCAACTTAGGGAAAAAAACACCCTTTCCACGTGTCCCACTGCCTCAGTTGGTAGTTATAATTTTCTGCCTCTTGTTGTTTTTGTGTGTGGGAGCCATGATCTTGTTTGTCCAATGCTGCTACAGATTCCAACAGGGCAGGAAACTACTGTTTCCTCTCCTAGGTACCCAGGATGGGCTCTTGAGCACACTTCATGCTCCACTCACATTTCTAGAGTGGACCATGTTTTGGTGTTGGCTCTCTGCAACCCAGTCACGATCCCCTGAGATTCCAGATCCCTGAGTCATGGCAGGGGTCTCAGGGGACCCTGGCTGTGTTACTGGGGTGGAGCCCTGAAATTCCACAGGGCTCCTGCTCCTTGGAAATGTAAATCGAATGGTGTGAGCACGTCTGCTTGGAAGCGATGTGGCGCAGGATGCTTAACATGCCACCTGGGGATGCCGCCTGAGGCTGGGTGGGACAGCGCCCAGATGCAGGGTCAAATTCCAGAAATCTGACCCATATGTCATCCTCAGTGCCCTTTGCCCCCGTCCACGGGACAGACAGGTACAGAACTGAAATTACATTAGTCTGATACGAAATGACAAGCATCTTATTTTGCCAAAATAAGATGTATTTTTTTAAAGTATTTTTTTCAAAAAATTATCATTCGTAGCATTTCATAAATGAAAGAAGTAGGTAGAAAACACACACTTGCAGCATAAAAGGCAGTTCTTCCCAAGGAAGGGCATCTGGCAACTTCACACAAGGATTTAAAAAAAAAATTCCATTTAAAAATATTTATTAATGCAGAAAAATGACAACCTAAATTTTTGTTCTGTGAGCATTAATCGTACGTCATCATTTTCTCGGTTCACGGGGGTCAGTGTGGGGGCTCTAATCTCTGAGTAACAGGAAGTGGATCAAAGGCGCTCTTTGTTCCAGCTCTAAGGTTTTCTTAACAAATTACTAAAAATCTAATTTCACTGAGAGATGTTGGCTGAAAATGAAAATAGGACTTTCAGGGGACTTCGTTGCTGCTGTTGTTTGGCTGGAAATACTTCAGGTGAAACGAGGGAGAAGGAGGGAGGACCCCAGGCTCTTGGGCCCTCTGGTCCTGCCCAGCGCGGGCTCCCATCTGCCTTCCCAGCCCCAGGCAGTCATGCTGCCCTTCAATCCTGCCCCGGAAGGTGGGGAGAGGGGGAAGCGGCAGGAGAAGCTGCCTCCTCCTGGCATCCCAATCCCAGGTAAGCACAGCTGGAGGGTCCTGGAGGCACCTGGCAGTCCTGTCGTGAGTGAGATGCTTTTAGTCAGCAGATCCCAGGCTGGCAGCATAAGCAAGGTGCTTTCCGGGTGGCCTCATCTGGACCACAGCCCTCCCTGGGAGGAGCCCAGGTTTATTAACCACAGGATTGTACTCGGCTCTAATATGGGAGGAGATTTCAAGGAGAACCAGAGCAAGCAGCATATGGGAACTGCCACAGGCAGAAATGCCCTCAGGGACAAGGAAGTGTCCTCTAGTTGACTCTTTTTCCAGAGTCTAGTTGTGAGTTTTCAAAAGGTCTCCCATTGCAACTTGGGCTGCTCCCATGCAAATCAGGGCAGGGGTGGGTGTTCCAGGAAGGAAGTCCTTCCGGTAGCCATCACACCACATCACATATACTGATCTGGGCCATGCCTTCCAGACTTCCTGGCCTCTGTGTTTATTTAATAGGTGAGCTGGGCTCAGCCTTGAATTCCACGGCCAAACTTCAGCTATGAATCAGAAGTATGTAAAGGTCATTCCTAGGGACTGAGGTACAACTCAGACTTTAAAAGACCTCTAAAAAGAATTTCTTAAGACACTTCCACAATGCGTTATTTAACAGACTCTCCTGATCCTGGAAGCAAGCCTTAAAACCAAAAAGCCTTAACCAAAAAGCATGAGCAAGTTAAGAACACTTGTGCACTTTTCCAGGTTTAGGACGTTGTTCTGGGTCCTGCCTTCAGACTGTATAGCCGCAGACTTTGGGGAAGGGAAGTGAGGAGCTCTGTAGTCAGACGCACAGCGGCTTTTTTAAGAATGATCAGCCCCCGTGCTGACAGGTGAGGCTTGATGTGGGTGCTCAACCCACCTGTGCCCGACGACAGCTTTCCTGGAGGGTCTACCCAAGCGACTCCAGGCTG